CTTGACTCCTGTTATGGATGGGATGGGCATCTGGAAAGTTTGGGCCAAGCAAAAACCTGCAGATCGGATGTGGCAGAGTTGCAGCAGCTGTCAGGCTCTGTTGAACACAGGCTCATCTTGAGCGGACAACAGAACGACGCTCGACCTGGACATTTTTGGGGACCTGCTGCGTTGGCTGATTTTGGTCCTTGTAAGTTTCGGTATTTAGCGATTTTGCACCACCAAAGAGCTGGAATGTACCGCAGAGCTGGACAAATTTCTTGAACTGGATTTCTGCCGACAGACAAACAGCAACGCAAGTTAATGGATAGAATGGTTAGAAACCCGCTGTTCTGAATTGTGATATGCAACACTGATCCCTGATGGGCTCAAGGCAGCGCATCCCGCAGCACCACCGCAGCAGAGTTAGCGCGTGTGGTCGGGCGGGGAATTCGTGTTTCGTGTTTAGGGTTTCCGTTGAGGAGTCCCTTTGCTTCAGCGAGGTGCATCGGAAGGGGCGAAGTAGGGGGCTCGGGCTTTGTCGGTACCTACGGGCAAATAGAGGTGAAGGGTGAAGGGCTACGAGACGTGAGCACATCTTCTTGTTGCGTGTGTGAGGCGTGTCCTGTGCTTGCTTGTCCCATAGAGACAGATCCTGCAGGCTTCTGTCCTTGCTCCATGAGATTGAGCAGCTTTGAAAAGTCGGAACTGCGGGGGAGGTGCAGCAGCTTGCGGTGTGTAAGAAGGAGCGTGAAATTTTGTGGCAAAGTCGAGACGAAGACTCCTCTAGTTGCATGGATCATGACAACAAAAGGAGTTAAAGCTAGCTAAACCTCTGCATGTCACTGGATAGGGCTTCTGCTGAAACGGACAACGCGACTGGCTGCGAAACCCAACTGCCTTCCTGCTCTGGAAGTGCTACCTCAGAGCATTGGGCACATGCTTTGATTCTTTCCACGGCTTCTGTTTCGCTGTGCGGTTCCACCCGACGTCACGAGAACTAATCAGAAATATCACCTCCTCATTGCGCCTAAGCTGAAATGAACCCCTCCTCCAGGGGAGGTTGGCCGCAGTGTTGGGTTTGTTCGCACTACACACAGAGTTCAGCCCAGCCTAGGGAGGTCGGCAAATTGATGGGTCCGTGTGTGCTGAAGAAAGTGGAGGTGGATGAGGCCGTGATGTGTGTAGATCCGGGTGCGTACAGGTCCAGCTGGACACTAGTCGTAGGAGCAAACATGCCCTCCTGCTTGACCGGGACTCACACACTAAACTGGAATGATTATGCCTAAACTCTGAAATGAGAGTTTGAAGCTGGATAATTACCAGAAGTCCTCAAACCCATGGCAAACTACCCTGAACCCTGCACCCTAAGCTTAACCCTAAACGCCATGCACCGCACAATCCTATAAATGTCCTAACACCCGTAACCACTAAGGCCAAGCTCCAAGAGCAAGCAAGCGGCTGGCTTTCGGACAGCACCGCGGCGCACGGCTGCTAAAGTGCGATCTCGGGTCGGGCCCTCGGGCGGCGACGAAATTTGCATTTTAGATTTCAAGCAAACGAACTAGGATTCCAGAGCATTGCGGTTTATTCTAGGGTTTCGATGCTTCAGGGCTTCAGGAGTTGAAATCTTCGCATGCTCCCTAAAGAAATGTCGATGTCGGTTGCTTTTCCTTTGAGGCGGGTTGGGGAATGCACTGCAACTTTCTTGATCAGTGAAAGCATACTGATACTGCCTCTGAAACAACTGGTTGCTGAAGCGCCTGTGATATGGGTTCTTGGTCAGCCGAGTTCTGTTTCATGTTGGCATCCTTGTGGTGACCGAGCCTTTGACTCGACATGCATGAGCAGTCTTGTAGCTCGTCTCAGCAGCCGTATCATTAGTAGTAGTCGTTGTTAGTCATACTGGTTGTAGAAGCCGTCGTCATAGTAGTAGCGGCAGTGGTACTGATGGTGGTTGTGATGGTGGTGGTGGTGGGTGGCGGTGGTGCGTAATGGTAGCAGCAGCAGTAGCAGCAGCAGTAGCAATAGCAGTAGCAGTAGCAGTAGCAGTAGCAGTAGCAGTAGCAGTAGCAGTAGGGGTAGGGGTAGGAGTAGGAG